GGGCCTGGCACAGTAGCCTACTGGCTAAAGTCCTCACCTTGCACACATCTTAAAGAAAAAAAAGAAACCTTAATTTTAATTGTTTTCTAAATGCATTTGATCATGAAACTCCATGCAAAATTACCTTTTCTCATAACATACTTTGGGGAAAAAGGCTGACCATTGTATTAACAAAAGTTTCATGGAAGAGTATTATTTTTTAAAACACATATTTATTTTTTATTGCAAAGTCAGATACGGAAGTAGATCTGCCAGGATTAGAACTGGTGTCCATATGGGATCCTGGTGCGTTCAAGGCCAGGACTTTAGCTGCTAGGCTACACCGCCGGGCCCTAATTGGCCATTTCTAATCATGATCAATTGGACAAAAGAAGAGTATAGGAAGGCTAAGGCAGGCGAGGGGACCTAAAGCAGACTGGGGACCAAAGACTGACCAAAGTATGTGATGTTTCAAAATGACTGTGAAGGATGAAAGCATTAAGCTAAGAAAAAAAGAAAGATGAAGGCGCATACATGTGAGCACATGCATGAAGGCCCCAAAAAAGAAGGTACATGGGCTATTGGAGGAGATGAAGGAAAACCATGATGCCTAGAGCTTTGAGAAAGATTGGGACATGGCATGATATGAAAACTGGAGAGTTAACTTGGACCTTTTAGATCATATTTAGAATTTTTGAGTATATTTTAAGAAAAATAAAGGGCCTGGTGCGATGGTTCAGTGGCTAAATCCTAGCCTTGCAGGTGCCGGGATCCCATATGGGCACCAGTTAATGTCCCAGCTGCACTTCCCATCCAGCTCTTTGCTTCTGACCTGGGAAATCAGTGGAGGCTGGGCCAAAACCTTGGGACCCTACGCCTATGTGGGAGGCTTGAAATAAGCTTCTAGCTCCTGGCTCCTGGCTTTGGATCAGGTGAGTTCCGGTCATTACAGGTACATGCTGAATGAACCAGTGGATACAAGACCTTTGTCTCTCCTTCTCTCTATAAACCTGCCTTTGAAAGAAATATAAATAAATCTTTTTTATTTTTATTGCAAAGTCAGATATACAGAGAGGAGGAGAGATAGAGAGGAAGAGCATCCATTGGATGATTCACTCCCCAAGTGACCACAATGGCCGGTGCAATGCTGATCCGAAGCCAGGATCCAGGAACTTCTTCCAGGTCTCCCACGTGGGTGCAGGGTCCCAAGGCAGGGAGCCGGATGCAAAGCAGAGCTGCCAGGACTAGAACTGGCATCCATATGGGATCCCAATGCTTTCAAGTCGAGGACTTTAGCCACTAGGCCACTGCACTGGGCCCAATATAAATAAATCTAAAAAAAAAAATAAAAGAAATCATGAAGGGGTTGTTATCAAGGAAGACATGAGTGAATTTAAGTCTTCAAATGCTTAACCTCTGTGCAGTGCAGAGACAGATTACGGCGAAGGAAACATGAATGAAGCACTCAGCTAGGAGCTATTATATTAGTCTAGGAAAGAGATTATGGGATCAATCCAGATGGACAGATGGGGATATATTTTCAAGGTAGCTGTGAGAGAAACAGATGAGAGCTGCTGCTGAATTGGTTTAGGCTAATAACGGAGTGATCTGTGAAGGATGACTCTGAGAAACTGAGTGGAAGATGGTTGTATTTCTCAGATGGAAGCATTAAATGAAGAGAAAGTAGTTTGGGGGAAGGGGTTGAAAATTTAAAACTTCAGCATTGGACATATTCTGAAGAGATGTGGAATAATGGGTTGCAAACACGATCTGGAACTCCGAGGAAAGCCCGCAGGGATAGAGACCATTAAATTACTGGTTTGTAGAAAGGTAATAGTCAGATCTCACAGTTGAGTAAACCTCTGAATACAATGTAAATGTTTCGGGAATTGTGGCTTTTCAACTCTGGAAACCATTAAGTATGAAATTAGTGCCACGGTGATTTAATAGGGTCGTCAGTTCTCAGACATCCAACACTGCATTGTACTGTGATTTACCCAAGTAAAATAGTTCAGCTAGCCTTTGGAATAATAAAATAGATAGTAACGTGTCTATTTTGGTTTATGCTGTTTGTACTGTATCAATTCCTATATCTGTGCTTACTGTGCTTAAAATCTACAGAAAACACATTTGAAATCAGAGGCATTTTGAGCATCTTCTTTATGTAGAGTCTTTACATTTTCCCAATAATCTTTTTCATATCCAGAGAGCTGTGAATGAATCACATGATAGCTTCAGAGAAGGAAGTTACATACAGGTGGAACATATGATTTTTCCGGGGGGGTCACACTTTCCACTCTCAAGGAAAAAGAAGGGAGTTTCAAATTAGAGGCAGGCCCAGCAGATGATCACCACTCTAGAGTAATTATTTGTCTATTTTATTTCATTATTCTAGATGTAAACTTCACCAAAAATGGAGTTTTTGGTCTTTTTTTGCTCACTCTACCAGCATCTAAACCAGTGGGAGGTGCACAATGAGTATCTGAAAAACAAGCAAATTAATGAATTATATCTTCACAGTGATATTGTTGGCACAATAAAATTCTATATTTAATATCCATATCAAAATTATCTACATATATAAAGAAATATATGTGCATATGTATAGATTGTATAGATACACCTATATTTGTTTATATATAGATAAGTACATATAATATATAATATATAATATATAACATACAATATATATTATATATAATATCTATGTAGAATATATATATAAAATGTCAAGATAAAATAGAAGTACTTTTCTTTATCTTCTCTCAACTGATTCATCTGTAGTTTCTCAGTGTTAGGGAAGATTTTGGAAAGTTCTTTTTTCATCATGGGGAATTTACTAATTTCCATTTCTACTGCTGTGTTTAACATCTCACAGATGAGACTTATTTCAGTTCTGATAATACTCAGAACTTTCATTTTTTTTTTTTTTATATATGAAGGCAAATGGCAGAGTGACTCTGTGAGCGATAAGTTATGCTTTACTGGGGAATATCTTTTACATGAAATATTCATCAAAAAGTGTATCACAGTAGAATTGTTTAATACAGAAGGGTGACCCATTAAACAAAATTAGTAAAACTTGTAAAAGATGACTAAATTTATGGCAAGCCTCAACAGAAAGGCAGCAAAATTTCCAGCAAGATACATTTTAAAGAGTTTTCATGTAACTTTTCCAAAATTAACAAACATATTGAACATCTTCAGAATACAAGACACACAATAGTGATGAGTAGCAGATTCCAAATAATGATAAACACAATGGAGTCCTTGTTCTCATAGTACTTTACAGTTGTCTGGCAACTCAGACCAAGTTCAGTTCAGCAAATATATATATATTTTAAAGATTTATTTATTTGGAAAGTTGGAGTCACAGAGAGATGGAGATACAGCGAGAAAGTTCTTCTGTTCCCTGGTTCACTCAAATGTGGCTAAAGCTGCCAGAGCTGAGCTGATGCAAAGCCAGGATCCAGGAGCTTCTGGGTCTGCCATGCAGGTGCAGTGTCCCAAGGTCTTGGCCCATCCTCTACTGCTTTCTCAGGCCATAAGCCAGGAGCTAGATGGGAAGTGGAGCAGCCCTGACATGAACTGGTGCCCATATGGGATCCTGGCACGTACAAGGTGAGGATTTAACCACTGAGTCATTGTGCTGGGTCTCAGTTCAGCAAATATTTACCGAACTTTTATTATACACTAGAGGTAGATTAGGAGCAAGGCAATAAAAAGATAAGCTCCTGTCAGACAGTGGCTTATAATTTGTGGTAGTGTCTGGTGTGTATTTTTTTTTTTTTTTTGTCGATTATACAGATATGTGACCTCAATAGGAATCAACACCAATAGAAACCTTGGTGCAAATACAAATGTTAAGGTGGAGGTAGTATTGCTGTGTAGGAAATGTTAGCCTACCATACTGAAGAGATGAGAAGGGAGTGGAAGCTGAGTAGAATCTTGGGGGTGTATGTTATTCCAAAGAACTGACTGGCTCAATTCATGCTAAAGGAACAGCAAGTGTGAGCCTGATCACTAACAGGGGGAGAAAACGATGTGTCTGGGAACCACCAACAGCTCAGAGGACAGATGGTACGAGGGGAGTTTCACAACTGTCCTTTTAAAAAAACCGCAAAATTGGAGAAGTAATTTCTGTGATTAAGCACCGCTTTAGTCATCTGCAGCTCTCCTTCCTTTTGCTTTGGGGTTGTCAGATAGCAAAGATGGACCTTGAAAATACTTGCCAGAGCTATGTCAGCTGTCTGAGACAACGTCAAATGTCTCATCAAAAGCAGCCACTTTAATAAAAAGACTAGTTTAACTTAATTATTCCTGCAATAACTTATTAGGAGACTTTTGTGTGGACTTTATTCGCGGGGAAAATCAAATTCAGATTCAACAAACGCCTTATCAAGCCTCTACTATGCTTTCACATTTTTATCCCTTCCGAGAAAGCAAAGCTTTGTTTTCAAAATACATGTAACGCCAGGTGTCGGTTTGGACTAATTAGAATAGAAATAAGATGCGGATTCCATTCTGGTGAAAGCAGGGCATGAGGTTTTTCCTGAATTTTCATTAGGGAAACCTAGGAACTAGACACGGAACATAGTTACAAAATATTTTTGTGGCAAATAATGCTTGGGGAGTTAAAGTACAGAAATGCGGGTGGAAACAACTTTCAGATTGGAGCTAGAATTTCCTTTGTTCGATGAGCGAGCCCCTTTCTATTTCACTCCGCCCTCGATTTTGCCTAACAGTCCTCGTCAAGGTGCTTGGAAGTCTTTCCACATTCATCCTAGGCGGTATTACAAAAAAAATCTGCATTTCTCCTCTACCTCAAACCTTCGGATAAAGAACCCACTGAACTAAGTCTAGGAAAGGAATGGACCTCGTAACATTCCAGTAAGTATTTCAGCTATAACGCCTACCTGGATCCTGCACCCAGGAACTACAATACCCAGAATGCACCGTTTTCACTTCCGCCTTCTACCCAGGGAAAGCCGACTAGATCTCATTTCCACAAGCACTAGTCACATGATACGTTTCCTGTCAAGATGGCGGATAATCTCCCTTCGGAGTTTGATGTGATCGTGATAGGGACGGGTATGTGTGGCTCTGGTACTGTTCGGGAAAAGTGCAGGGAGTCTGTCTTGTGCTTACCTTCTCTGTCGGTGGTGAGGGTTGGCGAGAAATGCCGGGGTCGAGCGCGGGAGGGAGAACGGGAAGGAAGTGAGGTATTCTGGAGTCAGCGCGGGAGTTGGCAGCGCCAGGGAGGGGCTTGGAGCCGCGGTGCTTAGCGCCATTTGGGTAGGGGTCGATCTGGTCGATGCCGTTTTCTGAGGTTGGTTGCTGCGGTGATTCTTCTTAATTTTCTTAGAGACGGGTGCGTTTGCAGTGTCATGAGAATGGAGGGTTGGGATTTTGTCAATGCAGACACCTTTGGCTTGACATCATGAGCACTACCCCCCTGCTAGATTTCAGGGTGATATTTTCCATCCTCTGTTTCTCCATTTTATACGACCTTTGAATGTAACTGTGGTCCTAGAGTGCAGCTAGGAGACAGCTTAATCCTCAGTTTTACAAGAAAAATGCTCAGTTGTTGCCCGTGTATATATATATTTGTTAAGGAGAAGGAAATGCATTCTCTTCCATTGTATTCAGAAGCCTAGGGAATTAATTGGAATTTGTTGAGGTAGCCATTACTTTTGCATTATGATGCTGAGGGAAGTGCCAATTGCTTTCTGTCCCCTTCTTATCCACCCACAGCTCAATAAACTGAAAGCAATCACTCGAGTTCCAGTTCAGGTGTTCCTTATCTCCCCCTTGTTTTTTCATGTTGTTCTCCATGTTTTGGGTGGAGTCAGAATCTCTTCCCCCCCATTTTCTAGTTGATAAATTAACTGTACAACACGTGGCAGAAGATATTTGGCAGCGATTTGCGTTCTGTTTTTCTTAACAATGTAAGGAATACATTTTAGATGGGGTGGAATATGCTGCTGGGTGGGTTTGTGTGGTAGGCCAAATAAGACTCTGGTAGATGGGACCCTCCCCATTGTGTTAAGGAATTGAGGCCCTTTATGTTTCCAGGGTGGGAATAAAAAAAAATAATAGTTACCTGTTTTCAGATACTTGTTGTTTCCTAACCAGTGTGCTAAGTAAGCATTTTACAAGCCAGACATAACCTTCGCAACAACCATGTTAGAGTAGGCATTCTCTACATTTTATAGAAACGAAACAGGCAGCCTGGGAAGGTTGTCATTTTCTCAAGATCACATAGCTGGTAAATGTCCAAAGGCCCATTCCATTCTTGAAGCAGAAGCGCTGTTCTAACTCTCACAGCTGATCTGCGTTATTGGAAGTAATTAGGAAAACTTGGTGGTGCTTGGCTGTTAACTAGCTGTGTGGATTGAATGGATTGTGAGAGGCAGGCACTTAAAACTCTGAGCCTCATTGACCTTGCATTGGAATGTGAGGAGGGTACACTAGATAGCCTTTCAGGTATTTGTCTAAACTCCCCACCCCCACCGATTTTTTTGGTTGCACCTGAGCAATTAATTGTTCTTAGAATTGCCATGGTGTTCATTCCCATCCTGAAAATTACAAGGCTGCAGACAACTGTATTAGCTATGAAGAGATACTGAATGAGAGCTGGAAAGAGCCAATATCCTGTTCATTTTTTCCTATGCTAAAAATGAGAACAGTATCTGTTTTTGCATAGTTATTGTATTGTACTGGAATTCTATATTATTGTCTTGTTTCTTAGGAACTTGGAGGTTTTTTTAATCGAAATTTTCTCATGTGGATTCAGATTTTAATTAATGAGTGTTAATTCTTGGATCATGTAATAACTATTGTGGCTGTTGATACAGTGAAAATGAAGAATACATTATCCTGTTGGGAATGTATTATGGTAAAGATAGGAAGATGTTATGGGTGATCCAAGAAGATTGTATCGGGGACATGCGATACAATTTTGAGAAAGATTTTGAGAAAAATTTGTGTTAAAATTACTCCAGTGAGTTCAAGGGATGGAAGAATTGGAAGTTAGTTTTGAAAATTAAGTTTTTCCTATTCCTTAATGGTGACATTCTTTTTTTTTTTTTTAAATCGTACACAGTTGCTTAAATTTGCGATAAGGAAATTTGCCTTTAGATATGTCAAAAGTGAAAACATGTTGAATGAGTCATTTCTGTGGAATATTTTCTGTTTTAAATACTTTGCTGAAGGTAGTCTTTCAAATTAATTTAATAAATGAGGTAAGTCCTTATTTGACTGTATCATGAGAAAAGCAGTGCTTTGTGGATTCAGACACTAATGAAGCAGAATTAATCATGCGTCATGTATCAGAAACAATTTATGAGATATAATTTTTGTTTAACAGATTTAGTTCTAGTTTAGGCATCAAAAGACAACTGCTTCATCAGGTAGGATCCTGTGAGGTTAAGATTCCTTTTGCCCTGGTTAATTTGCATTCTCACTTTTTGAAACATAAAATCAAAGTTTTTCCTTAGGATGTATATTAATGGGGTGATTAAAAAAATAAAATTTGTATGATGTAATTTTTTTCGTTCATCCCATTTCTTCTGATCAGGAAATGCAGGAAATACTTTTTGGACACTCAAAACATCAAAAAATAAAATAAAAGTGTTACACTGTGGGAAATAGAAGTGAAATAAAGGCAGCTATAAATGTAAATGTTAGGTCTAAGTGTGGTCTTCAGCTGTAGTGTACAATTGTCAATTTCAGAATTTTTTAAAAGATTTATTTTTATTGAAAAGGCTGATGGGCATAGAGAAGGAGAGATGAAGTTCTTCGTCTGCTGGTTCACTCCCCAAATAGCCGCAACGGCCAGAGCTGAGCTGGTCTGGAGCCAGGAACTTGTAGGTATCCTGCGTGGGTAGAGGGTCCCAGTGCTTTGGGCCATCTTCTACTCCTTTCTCAGGCTACAAGCATGGGGCTGGATGGGAAGTGGGCAGCTGGGACACGAATCTGTGCCCATATGGGATCCTGGTGCATGCAAGGCAAGGATTTAGCTCCTGGGCCATTGCGCCGGGCCCCATTTTCAGAATATTTTGCTATTTTAAAAGTTACTGGGAGTGGTAAATTTCGACAATTTTATGAATTTCATTGGTTTCAGATTAAAAATAGCGACAGTAACATAACATGTGGAGATGACTTACATGCAACCTGTATAATCTGCCACAGAGCAAAGAATACAAAGAAACAGGCAAGATGGAAGATTAAGAGTTATGTGATAATCCTTTAGTCATTTAGTAGCATGTTATTTAACTTCATGGTGTTGTTAATTTCTTTTTTCTTCCTGATACTGATTTTGTTTTGTGGCTTGGAGACTGTCCTTTCTAGTAACATGTTATTTAACTTCATGGCATTGTAAATTTCTACTTTTCTTTCTAGTTTGATTTTGTTTTATGACTTTGCATTTCAGGGGATGTACAGTAGCTGTGAAATGGAGACTAACATCCAGATGTGAGGATATAATGCAGTATGCATCTCTACTTCCAGACAAACACGGACTTACAATAAAACTGTTTACTATATCTTGACAATAGGATGCTGGACTCTCTGCCATTGTCCATGCCCGCAATGATGGACATATGACTGTGTATCAAGAACTATACTTCAGTAATGATATAGAGGAACTAGGTGAGGGTTGGTGGGGAGGGAATTAGGGAGAGGATAAGGGAAATTCCAGGAGCCTATAGAACTGTATCATAAAATGATCATAAAAAAAATAATAATAAAAAAGGAAGAAGTTAAAAAAAGGGTTATGTGATAATCTTGACATGCTTATACATAGGGAAATCCCTTAGGTCTTCACTTGGCAATACATTCTTATTTAGAAATAATTCTCGAATGCTCAGAGCATGTTAGAACGATGTCATCAGGAGATGTGGGGAGTGTTAACCCTCTCTGTCAACACAGACATACCCGATTAGATCCCTAAGAGAGAGCTCCTATCTGTGTACAGAAAAGGCAGAGACAAATACCTAAAATGCAAACCTTTATAAACACCCTGGTTGCTTGGCACCAGTTATGAGTAGTGACAGACAGACATTACTCAGGGTATTCACCCCACATTTATTTATTTATTTTTAAAGCCTCATTTTTTTTTTTAAAAAAGATTTATTTTTATTGCAAAGTCAGATATATAGAGAGAAGAAGAGAGAGAGGAAGATCATCTGTCTGATGATTCACTCCCCAAGTGGCTGCAACGTCTGGAGCTGAGCCAATCCAAAGCCAGGAGCTACTTCCAGGTCTCCCACACGGGTGCAGGGTCCCAAGGCTTTGGGCTGTCCTCCACTGCTTTCCCAGGCCACAGGCAGGGAGCTGGATGGGAAGTGGATCTGCCAGGATTAGAACTGGTGCGCATATAGTATCCTGGCACATGTAAGGCAAGGACTTTAGCTGCTAGGCCACCGTGATGAGCCCTCATCCCACATTTATTGAGAACCTAGTCCTTTCTTTGCCCTTGTAAAGTTTCCTATATTGCCTATATTTGGGATTTGTGTGTGTGTACTTCCTGACAGTGACATCCTCAGAGGTGTTCTTAAGACAGTGTAGGCTTTCATTACACCTTTCCTGCTTTCTGTCGGCCGTGTAGAGATTCCATCTGCCTCCCTCCCTGTCTTCCTTAATTTTATAAAGACCTATTTTATTTACTTGGAAGACAGAGTGACAGAGAGAAGGAAAGGCAAAGAGAAAAAAGAGATTCCCCATTTGCTGGTACATTCCCTAAATAGCTGTGATGACTGGAACTGGGCCAGGATGAAGCCAGGAGCCTCAAATTTCATTCAGGTCTCCCAGGGGTGTAACAGGGGCCTATGCCCTTGGGCTACCCTCAATTGCTTTTCTGGGCACATTAGCCGAGCTAGGGACTGGAATCAGAACAGCTGGCACAAGACCCTGTGCTCGGGCTGTGGGCATTGCAGAAGGTGGCATAGCTCACTAGTCCCAAAAACACCACACTTGAGAACGTTTGGAATTTTTTCCCTGATGATGGATAGTGGAATAGGTTGAACATTTTCCCATGCAGAGGATGGACACATATTGTCTTTTATGATTTAAGGATTGTATTGATATTA